GTCATAGGTTCGCCATCACTGCTCTAGATCCATAGTAAAAGCAATAGCATTACTTGATTATTGTTCTATCCGATCTCAGAAAATTGTGGGGAGGAGGGAGGATAAAGGTTGGTTGAGTAGAAGACTTTCATCATAACGAGGTGAGGAAAAAGAACTCTGTTGCATCTAAGACATTTTGATTTAATATTTCATTTTCTTTGTAACAGGTCAGTGGTTACTTGGATGATTGTACCTGTGATGTTGAAACCATTGATAAATTTAATAACTACAGGCTTTTCCCAAGACTACAAAAACTTCTTGAAAGTGACTACTTTAGATATTACAAGGTATTTTAATTTTGTATAAGAATACTTAAAGTTTAAATGGATAATTACATTTTCTTAGGCATTGCTGGGCTTCAAAATTGTAGCTAGTGCTTCAAATTGATCGAGGACATATTAGGAAAATTCAGTACACAAGAGTGAATAACGTGGTTCTGAGACTACCCATTGTATACTTATAATTTTAATAACTGAGTTTTACACGAGTTAGAAACTAGTAGGTTAAACTGAAGTCAGAAAAGAAACTAGTATGTGTATTGTAATCAAAATTGTGAGTTCATAATTTTCTAGAACATCAGATTTATTCCAATTACTTAATGTAAGTAAATGAAATATATTTGAGAAGGATAGCTTTATTTTGACCTGTATTATATTAACAAGTCACTCATCATACTTTATCTTGAGATAGCTACTGAAAGAGTTTAGAAAACCTGATCATTGGATTATATAGTTATAGTTTAAGTTCACAGTTGTCTAATGATTCTGCCATGTTAACTGTTACTTGCTTTAAATGAATGTGAGTTGAGTAGTGGTGATCTGAGCTACTTTGGCTCCTAGATGCCATCTGCTCAGGGTTTGTTTAGTCACAGTCTGTGAATTTCTATGTCTACCAGTTTACTTATTAGCAGCTACACCTTTATGTCAACATTGGAACTTGACACCTGATAAGTGAAAGCAATAGAATAATTGTAGACAATAACACGATCAGGTTATAGCACCACAATAAAACATGTGTTAATTCTAAACTTTTTCTGTTTTTAGAGATTGTTTTTAAATGTTTTCTATTGTTATTTTACAAGGTAAACCTGAAGAGGCCCTGTCCTTTCTGGAAAGATATCAGCCAGTGTGGAAGAAGAGACTGTGCCGTCAAGCCTTGTCAATCTGTAAGAACCGTGTAAATATTTAAAAACTGTTATCATCTTTTTTTCAAATAGTTACAGCTTTTTAAAAGGGGCAAATATAACTAAAATGATATTTTAATCCTCAGGCTAAATATAATGTGTAATATTTACATATTAAAAACCCAAACTTACAAATATAAAACACTTTGAATTATACTGCCTTTATAATAATAGAATTAAAATTTTGTGGTTAATCTAATCCTCTTA